ATGGGCGAGGGGCTTCCTGTCTGGAAGGGAGTGGGATAGGGACACCCAGTCTTTCTATGAAAAATTTAAAAATTAGCCAGGCGTGGCGGTGCTTCCCTAGAGTCCCAGCTACTTGGGAGGCTGAGGCAGGAGAATGACTTGAACACAGGAGTTCGTGGCCTCGGTGAGCTTTGATTGTGCCACTGCACTCTAGCCTGGGCGACAGAGCAAGACCCTGTCTCAAAACAATAGCAAAAAAAGACCCTGGTTGGGGTTGGGGGCAGATGCTCGGGCAGAGGAGGATTAGAAGGGGGACCTCGGACAGCGGCTGTATTGAGGGGTACTGTAGGCACAGAGCCAGCAAGGACAGGGCCAGCCCTGAGGACCAAAGTGCGGAAAGTGCCACGCAGTGCTCGCGGTCCCTCGTCCACAGCGCAGCGATCCCCACTGGCCTCCACCGAGCCCCTGCCTCCTCAGCATCGCCCCTCCAGCAGCACGTTGGAGGCCAGCCTTCCTCCTCTCAGCCTCATGTCCTCCTCCGGTCCCCAAGCACAGCACAGGGCCAATCCTGCAGCCCCGGTAGTAGGAATTCTGTCCAGGCTTCTCTCCTGGTCGGATCCTGCTGGAATCCACTTTCCTGCCCTTACTTCCTGGCCCTCACAGGGTCGGGGGGAATGGAGGAGGGGGGTCTCTCTATGTTGCGCAGGCTCGTCTCAAACTCCCAGGCTCAAGTGATCCTCTTGGCTTGGCCTCCCAGTCAGTCCTGCGATTACAGGCGGGAGCCACCACGCCGGCCCTCCCCCAGGTTCTCCACAGAAGAAAAATCAGAAAGGCCAATAAACTTGTGAAAAGGCATCCAACTAACATGGAATAAACCGCATGGGGTGGGTGTGGTATTACAGACCCCCAGGTTGGCAAAGACCCAAAGCCCACGCCTATCCAGTTTTAGAGAGAACTGCAGGAACCGGTGCTCCACACGTGCGAGATAGGAGCTCCCCTTAGGAATGAGATGTGCATAGCCCATGATGTAGCGATTCTGCCCTGTGTAAAATTCCTGGAGAAACTGGGCACATATGTCCCAGGATGTATGTATAAATATGGTTCAAAGTGGTACTGTTTAAAATCAGAAACGGTCAACAGCAGGAAGGATAAGAGGTGCGTTATTTTCATAAATGGAATACTACACAGCAACGAAAATGATAGGGCTTTTGTAACGTGCAACAGATTAAATGAATCTCACAAACATAAAGTTAAATGGAGGATGCAAATCACAAAAGAAAACATACAGTAGAACCTATGTTTCACTTACTGAAGTTCAAACCAAACTATTTTCTTCTTTTTTTAATACGAAGGGGGGCAGTGAGGAGCGGGGGTCCAATTTTCATTTTTTTTTTTTTTTGAGACAGAGTCTTAAACTAAATCATACAGGGGAAAAAATTATGACCAGAAAATGGGCATCAGCTGCACCGGTGAGGGGGCTCAGCCTGTAATCCCAGCACTCTGGGAGGCCAAGGCCGGAGGATCGCTTGAGTCCAGGAGTTCAAGATCAGCCCGAGCAAGAGTGAGACCCCGTCTCTACTAAAAATAGAAAAAATTAGCTGGGCATGGTGGTATGCGCCTGTAGTCCCAGCTACTCAGGAGGCTGAGGCAGGAGGATAGCTTGAGTCCAGGAGTTTGAGGTTGCAGTGAGCTATGACGATGCCACTGCACTCTAGCCTGGGTTCTGCTACTGTTAGTCCCAGGGACTTGGGGGGTCTGCTGTATAAATCAGGGTGGTTCTGGCTTTGGCTTCACCATTCTCAGGTCGGCGATGCCTGGGACCACCCACTTGTCATCTGCTGTCCAGCTTTCAAACATGCTGCTTTCTTCTGCTCTGTCCTTTGCAGTGTCTATCTTAAACACCCCCTTTCTTACCTTTCTGTGGACTTGGGGAGGCAGGGAAAGCAGGAGTTTCCTCTGCACTCTGCATCCAGAAGCCTGCAGGAATGACTTCCAGCCACGCAGGCCTGGCTCCAGCTGGGGGCCCCAGGCCGCTGTAGCCATCCTGGCTTTCCTCATGAGTCCTATGGGCTCTGTCCACACCCAGCCAGTCTCTGGCTCCCCTGGCCTGGCCTGGCCCCCTGCCCAAGGCCCAACTCAGCCCGCTTCCTCTGCTGAGCCTCCTTGGCTTACCCATCCTGCCTAGAAGCGCCCATCCTCCAAGCCTGGGCACGGACCCCTCCGGGGCAGGTCCCGGCCACACACCCTGCCTGGGCACCCTCCCTGAGTGCCCTGTGGGCAGGTCCCACGTCTCCAGCCCTGCTGCCTGCCCCTTCCCACCCCACAGGCTGCGTCAGCTGGGCCCTCTTGAATAGCTCCTCACGCGCCTTGTTCTCTGACCACCCACAGCAGCCTTCAAGACACGCTTGTCCCCAGAAGGGGCCCAACCTCTGCACTCCCACGGGCTCTCCTTGAGCACTGTCCTTAGGTCCCACCTGTCTGTGGGGCTCCCAAACCCATCTGCGGCTATGGCAGGCCTGCCACGCCAGGCCTTCATAGACATTTGGACTGTTGGCTCTCTTGGGCCTTCCTCATGGCACCTGGGTCATCCGGGGCCTCCAGCTTCCTGCCTCTTGGGCCCTTGGTGGCCAGAGCAGCTGCAGTGTCATCTGGTGCTGCCCCCACAGAGACCTGGCCTCCCGGCCTCCGCTGGCCCCTGCTTCCCCAGCTTCCTCCCGTCCCGCCACTGCGGGTCCCCAGGAGCTCCCTCCTGTGGCCTGCCATCTCCGTGGAGGGCCAGGGCGGCAGCTGTCCCAAGTGGAGGCGATCCCAGCCCTTTCCTGAGGCCTCTCCACTCGAACTGGGGAGGGCCCGGCCTCCCTGCAGGATGGAAGGCCACAGGCTTCAGGGCCTCAGCCCCCTGACCCTGTGGCCCACCGCCTGCACCATCTTCACCTGGTCCAGGAAGCACCAACCTGTCCCAAGGTGGCCCCTTGAGGAAAAGGCAGAGTCTCACTGTGTGCCCCTGCCTCGGCCTATACTGGCACGTGGGTGCTGTGTGACAGCTGCAAGAAGGAACGAGTCCTCCTTTGGATGAAATTTGCTGTCTTGTCACTCCTATTGTCACTGGTCCACTTGGCACAGGGCCACAGAAGGGGCTGGCGCCCTGCTGGCCCCGTGGGCAGCCACACACCAATGCACGGTACTGGACTGACTCAACAGTGAGTGTTGAGCGAGTGAATGAAGACGGAAGACCCGGCTCGAGTCAAACGGGAAGAACGCTGGGCCCTTTGCCCTGAGCCCACAGGGCAGCGGGGTGGGTGGAGCCGGTGCCTGAGCCCCGGGCCTGGCCGGGCACAGACCTGCTGCTCTGAGGGAGCAGTTTCCACTTCTGTCAGACTAGGTGGGGGTAGGCTGGGGGTGGGCTGGGGCTGCCACAGCCTCCATGGCCCTAGGGTACCTCCTGGCCTGGAGCAGCAGATGAGGGGAGCCCAGTAACTTCCCCCCAGGCAAGTCCAGGCAGCAGAGACCCTCCCTGCTGACCAATCTGGCTACTCCTCACCTGGCCCTGGGGCGCTGGAGCCGTCAGAGGGAGTGGTCTCTGGGTCTGTGCTGCCCGAGACGGAGCCCAGAACTCTGACCAGCAACTCCCTGTGGACTCTGCTCTGCCTACAGCTCCCAGGCTTTGCAGGAGGCCCTTAGCAACAGGGCCAGCCTGGCCTGATGGAGCCAGAGAACTTGGCCACTGGTCCTCAGAGGTGGGGCAGTGTTGAGGGGATGGGGACGGGGTTGGGGCGTCTCACTCTTGGGGCTCTCGGTCAGGCTGCCTGGGCCGGGGACGCTCCCTGCAGCCTTGTCCTTCTCCAAGTATCAAACCATCAGACCTTCACCTGTCTGTCCTCGTAAATACTTGGTTCCGGGAGAAGACTCTGGGTACAGAAGCAGTGGTGGGGACGGTAGCCGATGGGGTATCTTGGGGGTGGCAGGATGGACAGACTGCGGGCTGAGACGCTGGAATAGGGACGTCACCGAGGGCAGATGCGGTGATGTGTGTCGGGTTCCCCTCCGGCAGCCAGCGCAGCTGACGGTGGCAGAGCAGAGGGAGCCGTGCCCAGGCACGGAACGCCAGGCACTGCGAGGCACTGCGACAAGGTGCCACACTGAGTTTTTCTTTGAAGAAAATTCACTGTAACCGGATCAAATGAGCTCGTTAATCCTGACACCCCAGGAGCAGCGCAGTGAAACAGAGGCCTCGGTCCCCATGGTTTTCATCCTGGTTCCTAGCAGCTCTCGGGGAAGCCAAGCCAGGGATGTCAGGGCAGGGGGCGGCGCAGGCTGCAGTCAGGCCAGCCAGGGAAGGGAGCTGCCCAGTGGCCTCCCGCTCTGCCCCCGGATCAGTAGGTGCTCCGGACGCCGGGCAGGCTCTAGGCCAGGCTGCATCACCAGCAGCCTGTTTTCCCCTCCCTGGTTGGGAGGTTCCTGGAGGGCCCTCCTCCCCTCGGCAGGCCCTACTCCCCTCGGCAGGCCCAGGCCTGTGTCCCCAGGTCATGCTGGCACAACTGGAGCCCAGGAGTGGGACTGCAGGTAGGCAGACACCGACTCATGTCAGGAGTGTGGATGCTGCCCCTCAGAGTGACGGCCTGGGAACTGGGAGAGGGGACATGGCAGGACCCATGCCTGCAGAGCCACGTGGCTGTCAGCGGAGAGGACGTGGGGGCAGGCTAGACACGGGCACATGCGTCAGGGTGATGGGTGAGCTCACCGTCCTGCATACTAATTACAGTTTTAATCAGCCAGAATGAGACTCTGGCATCAATCTGCCACGCAGCCAGCTCTGAATCACACTGGAACTGACAGGAAGGTTCCGGGTGGTGGCCTCAGCTCAGCTCCAAGGAGTGGAGCCCAAGCGGGGACCTGCCTGGGTACAAGGTGCACCCTGCCGCCTGGCTTCCGGGCAGAGCCCCACACACCAGATAGCAGTTCACACTTGATTTTATTCCATGACAGTGATTTGCCGAAAACCCTCATTTCCGGGGCAGAAGATGGCAGTGGGTACCAGGCAGGAGGGGGGCCTGGCCACCAGGGGAACTGGGGCCCTCTCTGCTTGGGTCAGCGCTGGCCAGGCCTCGGCCTTCTGTCCAGCTCCAACTCCCTCCCCTGCAGTTCGGTTAAAAACTGAGCTGCAAAAATAAAATGCAATGCAAAAATAAAAATAAAAACAAGCCCCTGAGTTGATAAAAGCCAAATTAAAAATCCCCTTTGGTGTCAACAGGTCCTATTCCTAAAAGCCAGCAGGGTGGGGCAGGCGCCTGGGCCTCAGTCGTCTGGCTCCTCGGCAGACGCCGCTGCCGTCGCTTCCTCCTGGCCCAGGAGGCTGTTGGTGCCTGGCCGCTTCAGGACAGCGCTGTACTTGAGGGCCGTGGCCTCCGCCTGCAGGACCACCTCCACCAGGCTGAAGATGGTGATGACCTGCGGTAGAGCCAGGGTCGTGAGGGGACAAGGACCAGCTCTGCCTCCATTGGCTGTCCCTGCAGCCCCGTCCCCCAGCCTGTGCTCGCCAGTCTGCCCCAGAGCCTGCCCAGGACTGACAAATCGGGTCTGGGGAGAACTAGGGAGCCTGACAACTGCCTGCCTGTCACACTGAGAGTGCTCACAGGTGTCAGGAAACACACCTGGGTGGCTGGGTTAGCCTGCGGGATGTGTCGTCCGTGAAAACTATTTCACGGTGTAAAGTCCATAGCTGTCATCAGATTCTCAGTGGGACCCCAAAAGGTCAGAACCCTGCTTTAGTGGGACAGGCAGAGCCCCCGCCTGTCCCCACACTGGGTGTCCCCAAGGGAGGGAAAATGGTGCTCCAAGAGGCAGTCTGGGTGTGCTGGGGGGACCTCAGTATGGGGGCCTGAAACCCCACCCAGGAGCCCGCAGTGCTGGGGGCACCCAGAGGGACAGATGAGGGCAGCGGGGCCACCTGGGGACCAGGAGCAGGGCTCGCCAAGACATGGGGGGAGGGGCACTGTGGGGTCTGACCTGCTTCGCCGGCTCCTGCTCGCTGTCCTCAGGCTCCCAGACAAGCGTCAGCTCCGGCTTCTTGCCCACCTTCTGGAAGTGGTGGGAGCGCAGGGCCAGGGCCTGGGGAGCACACGCCAGCCCTCAGGCTGCGTGCCGTCCCCCCAACTTCTACCCGGGAGAGCCCCGAGGCTTGGAGGCAGCCCTGTGCCCTGCTCTGTAGGGAGCTGCCACCCACCAACCCAATGCTGGCTGCGTGACCAGAGATGGAGACCACCCGACCCTGGCCCCTCACCTCTGGCCAGCGACAGGGAGGCCCTGCCAGGCCACCTTTGGCTGAAGCAGCACCTGAGAATGACCATGTGCCAAGGGATGGGACGGGAGGTGATTCAGAGGCTCTGTGGGGGCAGGTCGTGGGTCCGCCCAGGGATGAGAGAACTGACCGGTCCCCCGGGACTGAGCACCAGAGGTGGACAGCTGCGCCCCCTGCTGGCACCAGCCAGTCAGTGCAGGTCGAGGGCTGGGCCGACTGCAGGGCTGGGCTGCCCTGGACCTGAACTTCCACCCTGCTGGGTGAGCTTCAGGACAAGAACCATGAGGGTTTCCAGCTGGACTCAGTCTCCTCTCTTCTGTCCTCCATTTTATGATCACCCGTCTTCCAAACTACGTGCTGGGATCTGCACTCCCCAAGTACTCTGGATGTTAGGAAATTCAAGCTGAGTGCAGGGGCCGGATGCTGACCTAGCGACCAAGCACAGGGCTGGCTGGAGCCAGGCCCCTGGGCCAGGGTTGGGATGGCCCCCTAGTCCCCTTGGAGAGAACTGTGATTAAGCAGTTGTCCAGGGTAGGAGTGGAGGCAGGGACAGTTCTTTTCCTTCTGTTCAGGGGTCACAGCATCTAGAGTGGGCCACTCTCTGGCCTTTCCTCCCTCCACGTCGCTCTCAACACAGGCCTAAAGCCTGCCTGCCCTGCCACGTTGTACTGGTCCTGAAGGGGCCTGTTCTCTGGTTTCCTGGGTCTGTGGGGAAGCGGCCCAGGCCAGATCATGGGCCCGGAGCCCCCATCCCCAGTGGGCAGGGGCCAGAGGCGGGCCTGGTGCTGGGAAGGGCACGGGGTCTGGGCTTCATACCCTGTACCACCGCAGGCCAGTGTAGCCCACAGGGAGAGAAGGGTGGAGTGTGACCCACCACAGTCTGCTTCCCTGTGGTGCGGTGTGGCGTGGACAGGACAGCTTGGCCTGCTCAGGCCTGCCTCCGCGCTCCCGCCGGGCCACTCACGTTGCAGTAGATGCGCTTCTGCACCCCGTAGCGCAGCACCAGCACGTCGAAGGCTTGGTTCAGGACACCCATCACCATGGCTTCCGACTCCAGGGGGCCACACTCCTATAGGGACAGAGCTGCAGCCATGGCATCTGCCAGGCCTGTCTGGGGCTCCTGGAGGGCACCTGGTGAGCAGGTGCCCAGGAGGGGTGCGGGGACAGAAGTGGGCGAGGGGTGCCAGGTGGGAGGGCTCACCTTGACAAGGACGGCAAAGAAGAGGCCAGTGCTGAGCTCCTGCACGCGCTTGGACACCATGCGGCGGTCGTTGCAGTGGTCGGCCTGCTTCTGCAGCGCATCGGGCTCCACATCCAGCCTCTCTCTGTAGCCTGGGAAGACAGGGCCGGGGTCATGGCTGGGGCTGAGCCATGTGGCGCCCTGGCCCAGGAACAGAGAAGGCCTGCTGCTGCCCAGCTCCCCATGCTGCAGAGAGCCGCATGGTCAGCAACCTGGTGTCGGCTGCACCCAGGGCTGGTGGTGAGCCCACGGCAGCTTTGGCAGAACCATGCACGGACAGAGACGTTGCAGCCCAGGTCCCCTGCACCTCGGGCAGACCGACCTTGACCTCCATGGTCACAGTGGAGTTGCTTCCATCCACCAGGCACCCACTCTGATGGTGGGTGACTCTGAGCTGGCACAGGCTCACCCTGGCTGGAACCACACCCCTCACCTAGAGCGGCAGCCAGGAGCCGGTGCACCAGGACGTCGGCGAAGCGGCGGATGGGAGAGGTGAAGTGCGTGTACAGCGGCACGTTGAGGGCGTAGTGCCGGAACTGCGCCCGGTCCTGCAGCAGCCCTGAGCAGAAGTAGTGCGCCATCTGCGGGGGTGGGGACAGCAGTGCTGGGAACCCTCAGGTCACTGGGTGGCCTCCTTCCCTCAGAGACCTGCTGCACTGGCCGCCTGGCCCCCGCGGTGGGGTGGGCCTTGTGCTGGCATCTCAGGGCATCTGGGCAGGAGTTGACCCTCCTACGGCCCACTGCTGCTCAGTGACTGCCGGGCGCAAGCAGGAGGGAATGGTTTCTGGCCTGCGCATCCCAGGACAGGGCTGGGCTGGCTACTTTGGCTCAGGAAGTTGGCCGAAGCGCGTGGCAATGCAGGACCAGGGGCTGCAGACACTCTTCTGGAGGCGTAAGCAGAAGCTGGGGAGGGTGCAGGTTTTTGTTCCAAGAGGCAAAGCCCAACGCCCAAGGCCCCTTCTGGCCAGAATGGGAGGTGGGTGAGAAGGGCTGGGCTGCAGAGCCCCTGCCCAGAGCCACATGTGTGCCTGGTCTTCCTCTCAGGCCTGAGCCCACATGTGGTCAGGGCTGCCTTCACCCCCTCTGGCCCTATTCTTGCCCAGCTGAAGCCATGCTGGCACCCGGACCATGTGCCCCCCAGGACTCTACCCTGCACTAGCCAAGGAAGGCTGTTTCCAGCCCGTCAGCCTCTGCCCTTCTTGTCCCCACCTCCTGACCCTCCCAGGGCCCACACACAGGTCTGAGTTCAAAAGGCCCCTCTGCTGGGCAGGGGTCAGGACTGGAGCAGGAACAGAGGCTGAGTCTCTCTAGGGCCCAGCACAGTCTGGCCCAGAGCCAGGGTCACAGCTCTTGATGCTGCTTGCCCTGCAGTCCCTCAGCATGCAGAGCTGGGAGCCAAGGCCACGCTGCTGCCAGGAGCAAGCGAACAGGTTCCTGGCCTGAGGGCCAAGGTCCCAGCCCTGTGTGTTCACTCGCTTGCTCGCTGCCTCGCTGCTTTCGCACACTCACACCCTCCTGTGCACTTGGCCAGGCAGACAGTCGGCTCCAGTTACTCCGCACATGGGCCCTGGAGTCCAGGGGCAGCTGGCAGTGACTGCATTAGCTCCTGACCTCCACTTCCCCTCCAGCCCCTGCTGGGCTCTGGGATATGTCAGGGGCAAGTGGGGGTGGGGTGCATGGCCTCCAATTTGAGCCACATTTGGGCTTTGTTCTCAGAAGTGTGGCCCAGCTCCCTGGTGACCTGGGGTGAGGAGGACAAAGGGCCCTGCTTCCTCCTGGCCGGCGGAGGTGTCTCTGGGTAGGGTGGGAAGGGTGGGGACCAAGGCTTTCCCACAGGGACCAGCTGTCCCCAGAACAGCCTGGGTGTCCTGTTCAGCAGCTCATGTGGGATGAGGCACCCATCCCATTTTGTGCTCACTGCTGTTGCTGCCTCTGCCCTGTCCCCTGTGCCCACCCCAATTCCTGGGCTGAGCGAGCAGGAGCATCCCAGGCAGTCCAGCCTGACTCTGCCGTCCCGTCCCCAGGCAAGGGTGCCTCTGCAGTCACGGGCAGGTAAGGCCAGGAGAGACCAGTCTGTCTGGGCTCAGGAGAGGGCTCCTTTCCATGGACCTCTCGGGTGTTTTGACCTTGGAGGTGGATGGCTTCAGGAGCTGGGACATGGGGCGGAGGCCCTGTGGGGCACGGCCAGGGGGCAGTTCTGGGATCCAGGGGTTGCTGTGCCATCTCTGCCAGGCCGGCCTGGAGCAACTGCAGTCAGGGCGGGTGGGGTCCAGCAGGCGTGGCACAGCCCCCTCTGCTGTGGGTGCTGCAGGTGCTTGGCCGTGCAGATGCTTGGGATCCGGGCAGGCCAGGGCAGCCGGGCCCAAGTGGGCCCTGATGGCTCCACTCCTAGCAGAGCTTGAGTTGTCAGAAGATAAATTAGCTGAGGCCAGCTGAGGCCATCGGCTTCTCTTGAGCAGGCTGAATCTGCCAAGTGGCTGAGCCCCTGAAAAATGGCCTGTCATCGTCCTGGGCTGGGCAGGCCCACAGCTCACCTGTCAGCATCCTCAGCTCTCACACACCTGACGGTCCGCAGGGGAGGCTCCTGTTCCCAGGACGCTCGGGCCCCCGAGGGGCCGATGCTCAGCCTGGGGAGCTGCACGGGCAGCCGGGAGCAAGCCTCCCTGTCTACCCACAGGCTGCCACCTGCCTGCAGGCACCACCCCAGGCCTATGGCTGACGCCTCTTCTCTCCCACGATGGCCAGGGCAGACTCAGCCGGGACTGTACAGGTGGGCATGGAGGCCGAGGAGTGCTCCCTGGGGCTGGCAGCCACGTGAGACCCTCTCTTTCCTCCAGAATCCCAGCCAAAGACGAGATCCGAGTAGCCATTTACACAGGGCTGCAGAGCAGGCAGCCCGCAGCCAGTCTGAGCAGGGGACCCAGATCACATCTGTCCTCGGTTCTGTCTGGAAGTGGCCCCCACTCCCAGCCCAGAAGTGCTCCTCTCCCCTTTCCCCCCGAACCTGGCCCCAGAGCAGAGCAGGAACGCTGGAGGCTATGTAGGTACATGGAGGTTGCAGATCCGGCCAAGATGCTCCTGGGAGCAGGGGAGGACGGAGGCGAGGCCCCTCCTTACCTGCATGGGCCGGGAGCACATGTTGGTGAGCACCTCCTTCCGGGCCAGTGAGTACTTGTCACCTCCAAATGTTTGGGTCAGACTTTTCTAGAAGCAAATCCCAGAAACCTGTGTGATATGTGGTCAGACTCGAGGAAAGGCTCTGGGCCCCTGTCACTTGCTGACCATCTAATACCCGGCCCAGGGGGAATGGACAGCGTGGGGCCCAGCCCCCCTCAGATGGCTACGGGGAGGGTGAGACACTGGGCGTGAGGTCAGTCCCTTCCATGTCTAGCTGGCTGGCCTGGACAGCCTGGGGTCCCCCTGCCCCTCCCAGGCTCAGAGCGTGCCTGAGAAGAGTCTCCTTCCTGTGGGATCAGAGCCAAGGCCGGGGGTTCCCCAGCCCATGAGGCTTAGCTACAGGCCATGAGCACAGGAAAGCTCTTAGCAGAACACTTCCTGCATTCCTACAATTCCAGCCCTCATACTGAAAGTCTCTGGGCCCAAGACCAGGTCTTTGCTGGCCACAGGACCCCTACCCACTGGTGACCCCGCAAGGTCCCATGGCCCAGTCCCAGTGAGGAAGCACCCCTACTATCAGGGCCTTGTGATGCACAGGGGGCCTTTCCCCCGAGGCCTCTCTCCTCCCCTGCAGGGGGAGACATGGCTGAAGGGACCACGGTGGGAAGGAGGGGCTGTAGACCACCTTCCAGGCCTTTCTCTTCTTTCCCCCACGCACAGCCTCCCCCTAACCCGCCAGCACTCACATTGAGGGCTCCTGCGGAGCTGAAGTCCATGGACAGCCCCATCTGGTCGCAGAATTCCACCAGGTCACTGAGCATCTTCGTCTGGGGTGGGGGGTGCCGGCGTAGCAGGGCCTGCTCGGGGAAGGCGCGGTAAATCTTGTGGGCCACTGCCATGTTGGCCAAGAGCATGAACTCCTCCACGAGCCTGCAGAGGGTGGGCCGGGGACGGGAGGGGACGCTGGGGTTCTGCAATGTCACTGTGCAGGCCTTCCCACGCTCCCTGCGTGGCTGGCTCTCTCGCATCCTTCACATCTTAGCTTAAGCCTGACCTCCCAGCCCCGAAATCTATTGCCTTCCTCTGACCGATGCCCCTTCACTCTCACCCCCATGCCCTCCCCTGCACCCATCCGTCTACACCGCCATTGTCTCCTGAGTGGTGAGCTCACTGGGCAGGGGCTCCTGGACAGCATCTGCCTAATTCCCTGCTGCAGCCCCAGAGCTCTGCAGCCAGCCCAACCCAGAGAAAGTTTAATAGACGTTTCTGTGGAAGACCAGACTCCCCGAGTCCTCAGGGGCAGCCCTGGCTCTAGGACAGTGCTGTGCCGCCCAGGCCACAGGAGCGCAGAGGGCCCAGCCCAGCCCCGCTCAGAGGGCTCCCTCGGGGGCTGCAGCACTGCAGACCGAGGACTCCCGGTGCCCAGGACTGCTGGGCGCCCTTTCTGCCCGGGGACTGGGTCTTGTAGGAGAAAAGCTGCCCAGTTAGGGTTTCTAAGGATGAACAGGAGAGTCAGAAACATTACATGAGAAAACCCTCAATTTGAGGACACTGCAAACATGTGGTCGGCGTGTCCAAACACCCAGAGAGTCGCTCCAGTTTTGCTTTACTTCGGTAGAACCAGACTGAACAATCAGATTGAATGGACGTGGCTCCAGTAAAAGGACGAACGTACGCCAAGGCCCCAGGGCGGGGAGCAGGGGCTGACTGGAGATGGAGGAGGGCGTCCCCAGAGCAGGAGGAGGCAAAGGGGAGTGGCCACCACACAGCCCAGGCCAAATCTGGGTCAGGAGGCCACGCGCTGCTTTCTCCCACCCGTGCTGGGACACGTGGATCACACACATGCACACGGGACGGAGCCTCTGAGGGTGGACTTGGGCGTGACCTGGTGCCATGGTGACCAGGACCCTCATGTGGGGAAAGCTGCCCCCTCGGCGAGGGAGACATGGGCTATAAAGCCTCATCCAGCTTGAGAGACTCTGCCCTCCTTGCCTTCCCCAGGCTCCAGGCTGAGCCCTGAGCTTCTCTCCCGGAGCAGAAGAAGGCAGGGAGGTCAGGGAGGAAGCTCCTGCCGGACCGGAGGCCTGGGATGAACTTTTCCTTCCTGGAGGTGGTACTGTGGGGTCAGCCTAGCTGCTGTCGTCTGGCCAAGCTCTTGGAAAGAAAGGCAGCACGGTGAGGCAGAGAGCGCCTGTGTGTGCAGAGTCCTCCACCTGGCCTGGGCCTGCAGGCTGTCCTGAGAGCACACCTGTCTGCCCAAGGGAGCCCTCTCTGCACAGGACAAAGCCTAGGAAATGCCCAAGCAGGGCAGGCACCAGAAGAAGGGCCTGGGGGTGGGCCCATGCCTGCGGAGGTTTGGCACCAGCCCTGCACACCTGGCCCCATGTTTGCAGGGAGTGCTGTTGGCTGGCCCGCTGCCCACAGCCCACAGCAGAGCGGGATTACAGCTTGGGCACGTGACCTTGACGACCAGGCCTCAGCTGACCCTTTGACCACACAAGAAACCAGCATGTGGGAGGAGGAGCTTCCCAGCTCCCCTTGGGTTGCAGAAACAGCCTTTTAAGTGGCCACCCTGCTGTCCTCCCCTTCATGTGTCCTTGTAGCTGTAACTAACCGCTGATAACCCTTGGGTTCAAGCACCTGCACCAACCACCAAGGCTGCTGAGCCCAGGTTCAAATCCTTCTGCTGTGGGACCTTGACCATGTCACAGACCTCTCCCCAGCCTGCTTATTCTCAAACGTAGGACAGGGTGACAATGGCACCTGATCACATGGCTGTCTTGCAGGCAGATGGAAATCCACATGTTGAAGGGCAGACCTGGTGCTGGGCTGGCCAAGCCCCTCAAGTGACGGGTGCTGCTCTCATCTCAACCCACCTGCCCCCACATGGCCAGCCTGGGTTCTTCCCCACATGCCCTACGATCCCCATTCCTGCCAGCGACCTCCCTCCCTTGCCCCTTTCCTTGCTGCTTTTGGGTCGCCACGTCCCTGCCTCACACCACAGGACCCTTCTTATTTGATTTGCACATTTAGATCATGTCAACCCAAGAGGAGTCCCAGTTCCTGCTCAAGAAATGTCTCATGGGATGTATTCTGTGACCTTGGTCGCACCATCATCACCAAGATGCTTCAGATGCCCACGTTCATTCTTCGTCCACTCACTCAACAAAGACTACTTTGTGCCAGGCACGGTTCTAGACTTTCCTCCCCATGCAGCCGGGTATCCTTGTGGGCAGAGCACCCATTCTGCTCCTGGTCTCGGGCCCAGCTGGGGGCTTGGGTGAAGAGGGAGCAGGGTCAACCCCAAGGCTGACCCTGCAGTGCATTTTGCAGCGTGGCCGGCAGGGGGCAGCAGGGCCCCATAACAGGGTGCCGGGGAAGCTGAAGGCTAAGGAGAGCCACCGGGCAGGCCGGGTGAAGGAGCAAGGCTGCGCTGGGCACTCTGGCCTGTCCCCACACCCTAGCCCACAGGGCCAGGAACTGACTGCCTGGGAGCCGTCTGGGCTGGGCCACGCTCCTGCTGCCAGTTCCTGCAGGGGCTCTCCCACCTTACCTCTCATGGTCTTCAGTAAGGACAAGGACAAGAATGGAAGGGAAGGGACAGGGAGGGGGTGGGGCTGAGCCGGGAGCCCCAGGCCATGAAAACAGATCCAGGCAAGCTGCTTCTCCAGTGACTCTGCTATTTGTCCTCTCTGGACCACAGCACAGACCCACAAGTCACCCTTGGCCTCCTCAGAGGAAAACAAGGGCACTCGTGGTAACCTTGAACATAGTGCCTGTTGAAGCTGCGGAGGCAGAGGCCGATCTGGGCCAGGTCCCCAGGTGTGGCTGGGTCTCCATATCCTTCTGCAGCTCCTCCCTGGGCTGGGAGTAGATCACCTGTGGAACTCTAGCCAAGCACGTTGGGTGATATTGACCATTAACCCAGACAAACGTCAAGTCACCGAATACAGGGATGGCACAGCAGGAAGTCCTGATTCCCTGAGTGTAGACAAGGCTCATTAGAGTTCTAGGATAACTGCAGGGACCATTTCCCCAAATCCTATCCTCAAATCCTTCTTACACTACATGTGGCAGAGGGAGGGCAGAGAGCCAGGCCGCTGAGCAGAGGTGAGCAGAGGCAGGGTCTGGCGAGGGCTCTGGCGGTCATGTTTGCAGGTGGCCAGAAGGTGGGTCTGCAGTGGAGTTAGGGACCTGGAAGGCCAGGACCAAGCCGAGCACCAGCAGCCAGAGTTCCGCTGAGTGCAGGATGCACTGTCAATAGTGGCCCAGGCACCAAAGACAGAGAAGGGAGCTGGGAAGTGCTGGGGTGGGGGAGGCAGTGTCACCACCCTCATCTGGGGCCAGCATGGGGTCCCTGTCAGTCACGGGACTCCACAGTGCACTCTGCTTCATCAATTCCCTGCATCAGCCAGCAGGGGGCCCCCAGCACCTTCCTCCTGCAGGACCTGGGACGTGGCAGCACAAACTTAGAACCCAGGGACTTCTGGGCAGGAAGGAGTCCTCCAGTGTATAAAGTCCAGCCCTGCGCCCCGAGGTCCCCTCCTCTGTGTTCCTTCCTTAGCCACAAGCTAGGCCTGGGCTGAGGGCTTCATCAGCCAGAGAGAGGCACAAGTCCTGAGGGCCTGCAGGGCCACCGAGGGGGCTCCGCAGCTGACCCTGTCCGAAGCCCCTCTCCTGGATCTCCTCCCACTCTTGGGGGTGGGGTGAAGGCTGCGTGCATAGACCCAGCAGCCCATCTTCAACGACGCCCCAAGCTCTTCTGGGTGGTCAGGAGGGGCCTCTGAGAGCAAACTGCACACTCAGGGGTATGGGAACCCCAAAGAGGGCAGCGTGTGCCTCAGGGCTGCTTGAGGGGACGGAGCACTGCCCTTTGCCCTGGCCTCAGCCTTGTCCCCTGGTCTGGTCACCTGCCCTATGCAGGCCATCTACTCCCCGAGCGACAGCATCGCCCAGGCATGAGATCACTGGGCCTTGCTGGGGAGGCACGAGCTAGGACTTGGCCACTGTCTGACAACTGCCATACTAGGGGCTCGGGAGTGGCTGCTGGCCAGAATCGCCTTCCAGAACAGCAAGCCAAGCCCTCGGAGACGGGGCCTCGGTCCCAGCCTGGCATCTGCTGAGCATCTGGAGCCGTGCGCCATGGGGGGCCCACTACTCTGGAGGTCTGGGGCCAGGCCGCGCTGTGACGGATGGCTGCAGGGCCGGGACCTGAGCACCTCCGCGCTCATTCACAGCACCCTCCTACCTGGTCTGGTGCAGGAGGGGCAGGAGAGGGACAGATGTGGGGTTCCATGTCCCAGGGAGCAGCTCACCGAGCCCCTCACCCGCTATGGCAGATAGCAGGGAAAGGCCTGAGACAGCTCCACACGACATACACACACCCCACACTGCAAGGTGACAGTGGTCTAGAACAGTGCTTCTCAAGGTGTATTAATGTCACACACAGATAAAGGTGTCACTGTAAATATACATGAAATGCTGAGGCTCTTTTTTTTTTTTTAAAATCACAAGACATCCTTTGTTACAGGAGGGGTTGGTGGGGGCAGCATTCCTGCTACCTGAGGATGTTTCTGTCGTGTCTTAAAGGGCGATGGCTGGGACAGCCTGCTCTCGCCCTGGCAGGCTCAGAGAGTGGGTGACAGAAATAGGCCAAAACATCTGCCCTTTCAGAGCGAGGCTTTCTTTCATGACTGCCATGTCATGAATGTCTCTCTGCTTACCTAGGGGATGGTGGCTCTGTTTTGTTAGTCAGGACCTGGTGTGCCTGTAGCTAGGAAAGTCCTCTGTCGGCGTGGCTGGGGTGCGGGATGCAGCGTGCAGGGGTGCAGGGTGTCCTGGGGTTAGGTTCCTGCCCTTTACCTCTCCTAACCCTGCCTCCTTTCTGTGTCCCATACACACAGGCTACGTCGCCGGGAGAGGCAAAAGAG